GAAGGACAATAAATACACATGTAAACAAGCATCTCAAATTAAAATAGATTATAGTGCTTACGATCTATTGTGTTGCAAAGAAGAGTTTGTGTATCACAGATGAACGAAGAAAATTAAAAGTAGAAAGGACATTAGATGCATATGTAAACAAGCATCTCAAAATAAAATAGATTATATTACTTACTTGCTATTGTGTTGCAAAGAAGAGTTTGTGTATCACAGATGAACAAAGAAAATTAAAAATAGAAAGGACAATAAATACGCATGTAAAAAGAATCTCAAATTATAATATATTAGTACTTACTTCCTATTGTGTGGCAAAGAAGAGTTTGTGCATCACAGATGAACGAAGGAAATTAAAAATAGAAAGGACATTAGATACACATGTAAACAAGCATCTCAAATTAAAATAGATGATAGTACTTACTTCCTATTGTGTTGTAAAGAAGAGTTTGTGTATCACAGATGAACGAAGGAAATTAAAGATAGAAAGGACAATAAATACACATGTAAACAAGCATCTCAAATTAAAATAGATTAGTACTTACTTCCTATTGTGTGGCAAAGAAGAGTTTGTGCATCACAGATGAACGAAGGAAATTAAAAATAGAAAGGACAATAAATACACATGTAAACAAGCATCTCAAATTAAAATAGATGATAGTACTTACTTCCTATTGTGTTGTAAAGAAGAGTTTGTGTATCACAGATGAACGAAGGAAATTAAAAATAGAAAGGACAATACATACACATGTAAACAAGCATCTCAAATTAAAATAGATTATACTGCTTACTATCTATCGTGTTGCAAAGAAGAGTTGTGTATCACAGATGAACGAAGGAAATTAAAAATAGAAAGGACAATAAATACACATGTAAACAAGCATCTCAAATTAAAATAGATTAGTACTTACTTCCTATTGTGTTGCAAAGAAGAGTTTGTGTATCACAGATGAACAAAGGAAAGTAAAGATAGAAAGGACAATAAATACACATGTAAACAAGCATCTCAAATTAAAATAGATGATAGTACTTACTCACTATCACAGATAACCAAAGAAAATTAAAAATAGAAAAGACAATAAATATACATGTAAAAAGCATTTCAAAATTAAAATAGATGATAGTACTTACTCGCTATTGTGTACAAAGAACAGTTTGTGTATCACAGATGAACGAAGAAAATTAAAAATAGAAAGGACATTAGATGCATATGTAAACAAGCATCTCAAAATAAAATAGATTATATTACTTACTTGCTATTGTGTGGCAAAGAAGAGTTTGTGCATCACAGATGAACAAAGGAAATTAAAAATAGAAAGGGTAATAAATACACATGTAAACAAGCATCTCAAATTAAAATAGATGATAGTACTTACTTCCTATTGTGTTGTAAAGAAGAGTTTGTGTATCACAGATGAACCAAGGAAATTAATTATAGAAAGGACAATAAATACACATGTAAAAAGCAACTCAAATTAAAATAGATTAGTACTTACAAACTATTGTGTTGCAAAGAAGAGTTTTGTATCACAGATGAACGAAGGAAATTAAAAATAGAAAGGATAATAAATACACATGTAAACAAGCATCTCAATTTAAAATAGATTAGTACTTACTTCCTATTGTGTTGCAAAGAAGAGTTTGTGTATCACAGATGAACAAAGGAAAGTAAAGATAGAAAGGACAATAAATACACATGTAAACAAGCATCTCAAATTAAAATAGATGATAGTACTTACTCGCTATCACAGATAACCAAAGAAAATTAAAAATAGAAAAGACAATAAATATACATGTAAAAAGCATTTCAAAATTAAAATAGATTATATTACTTACTTGCTATTGTGTTGCAAAGAAGAGTTTGTGTATCACAGATAAACAAAGAAAATTAAAAATAGAAAGGACAATAAATACACATGTAAACAAGCATCTCAAATTACAATATATTAGTACTTACTTCCTATTGTGTGGCAAAGAAGAGTTTGTGCATCACAGATGAACAAAGGAAATTAAAAATAGAAAGTGCAATAGATACACATGTAAACAAGCATCTCAAATTAAAATAGATCAGTACTTACTTTCTATTGTATTGTAAAGAAGAGTTTGTTATTTTAGTATAAGAGATTAATAAAAATGAACAAGTATAATACTCATAATATTTTTAGGATTAGATCTATTTACCTTTTCCTGTAAATCAAAAGCAATAGTCCAATCAATAATAATATTTATTATTATAATAAAATTTTATGTACCATGAGTTGATTTAGTCCACTTCAGAAATGACAGACATCAATCATGTGTCAATTCAACTTTTCAGGTTACTTCCTGTCATCAGAGATGATCTAGTCCACCCCTTTTCTCTGTTATTGTAAGGAAATCCATAAATGGTAAGTCCAATCTATACTATCTAAATTATCATTGATTTATACAGTAAATCTATTAGATTAGCTTTATATTAATATTCTTCATTGTTTTTGTTCACAATAAATAAGCTTAGTCATACAATTAAACTGGATTACTGATAAAATCAATCAGAGGGGATCTACTAGTTGCTCATAATTAAAATATTCAAATGACAAAAGCCAACAACAACCATGAATGACATTAACACAAACTAATAAAGAATCCATCATTACAGATCATTATATAGAATATGCAGAGAACTGAATTGTTGCACTCACTTCCGTCTTGTTCTAATAGACACATGTAGGGACATCACAGAACTCATAAATATTCCACACAATCTGAGCTTGTATTGCATACTAGATTATTAACAATCAGTATTTGGGGGTAAAGTCAACTCAAGGCAATATGATCTCTCACAGTGAACCTGCCATACTTACTAGCTAGCATGAACTATAGACTAAAGACTCAACCATACATTAGTACATAAAGATCTACTGTATCTAGATTTGTACATTGCTTTGGTTGATTAGGCTCAGGTATATACACCATGATCTCAATGGACATATATACAGATGGGTTGCTATTTGCTATCTTTTTGCCTTGTCTATGTGACAAGACAAGGTAACAGTTTCATGAGCAGTCGATCGTGTGCTTATAGTCTCACATTACCAGATGTAAGTGGAATCCTCACATACTAGACTAGATCTAGCTGTGCTTTTATAAGAACATTATAATCTACATGAACTGCTATTTTAAATGATGTCTTGTTAATCATGAAAATAACAACAATAATAATAATATGCCATTTGAATACATGTATGTACATTTCACCTAATAATAGTAGTTTATTACAGTTCTGTCTTTTCCTTTTCTTTCTCTCTTTCCTTCTTTGCTGCTTCCTCCTCTTCTTCTTTTAACTTTCTTTTACGTATCTCCTGCAGTACCTCAATTGGTGGCTCTGAAAATAAAAAACAAAATTAATATCATATCCACTATTGTGTTATACCATAGTACATGTATATACTAGTAATGTATTGTCCTAACCTGTGTCACTGTACCATCCTTTATCACCAGCAAAATGAGTTGGATAGACTAGCAATGGATAGGCAGAATAGACACGTAAATCTCTAGTAGTGTTCTCATAATAATGGACCCAATCACTCCTGTAATAACATATTAATATAACTCAATAGTCTCTCACTTGAAGCATGGAAG